GCACTACTAAAATGGTAGTAACTTCCTCCATTTTAGGGAGTAACAGAGGTATTACCCATCTTTTACAAACTGGAATTGAAATTATTTGGTAATAGGGTTTTATAAGCACGATGGCAAGATTGGAAAGAGCATCAGCATATCTATTTTCACCGCGTGGTACGTTTTCAATGGTGACTCGATCAAATTGACTCATAAGTTGAGTTGTATAGCGATAGTATGAAATCAAATCTGGTTTATGAACATTGTACAATTCCAAAACCTGATGAACCACCAGTTGCGAGTCTCCATAGATTTTGCAACTGAGAGAGCTGCATATCAAGTGCCATTTCTAAGCCAATGATCAAAGCTTGGTACTCCATCATGTTATTGGAGCAAGACTCTATCAAGGTAATTGCATAAGGCAATACTTTGTCTTCAGGGGTAATGAAGACTACATCTGTGCCAACTCCATACCTTCGAACAACACTATCAAAGTATAACTTCCAAGATGGTATGAAGTCAATGAAGAAAACTTCTTCATTTGACAATTCTTCTAGTAGCTCCCAGTTTGTAGGGATCGGGTGATTTTCAAGAAAATCAGCTAATGCTTGTCCTTTGACTGCCTTTTGTGGAACATAAACTATGTCATATTCTGACAATAGAAGTGCCCACTTTGCCAATATTTTTGAGAGAACTGGTCTTGACATACTGTACTTGACAGGATCAGATTTTGAAATGAGATGAACAACATGAGCCAACATATAATGCCTCAATTTCTTTGTAGCAAAGACTAATGCTAGACACATCTTTTCAATAAATGAGCAGTTTAGTTCTGCACCTACTAATGTTCGAGTCATATAGTATAACGCATTTTCCTTTCCCTCATCATTAACTTGTGCCAAAAGTGCTCGTAATGACTGTTCTTAGGCAGCAATATAAAGGATCAATGGTTCTCCTTGAATTGGTGCTGCGAGGACCGGGGGATAAATGAGATATTTTCTGATATTTTCAAAAGCATTATGACAGGCACCGTCCCATTCAAAAAGGAGCACCTTTCTTCATTAGTTTATTGAATGGATGACAACATTCGGTGAGGTTCAAGATAAATCTTCGTATATAGGCAAGCCTTCCTTGAAGAACTTTCAAGTCATGGAGATTGCGAGGCTTTGACATCTTTAGGATAGCCTCTATTTTTGATTGATCAATCTCAATGCCTCGATGCCTGACAATAAATCCGAGGAACTTGCCAAAGGTAACCCCAAAGACACTTTAAGGGGTTCATTTTTAGTTGATATCTCCAAAGTCGTTCAAAAATGCTACGCAAATCATCAAGATGATCTTCAGGCCTTCTTATCTTTTCGACCAGGTCATCAATGTAACATTCAAGTTTTTTGTGTACTACATCATCAAAAATCTTTTCATTGCATGTTGATATGTGGCACCAGCATTCTTGAGTCCAAAAGGCATCACCTTGTAGTAGTAAATTCCCTTGAGGGTTCGAATTGCAGTGAGTTCTTCGTCCTTAGGGTCTATTCAAATTTGATTGCATCCATAGGAACCATCCATGAAAGATAAGACCTCATGTCCCGTGGTCGCATCAACCATGAGTTCTGTAATCGGCAATGGAAAGTCATCTTTCGGAAATGCTTGATTTAAATCTATAAAATCAACAAGAACTCAAATTTATCCATTTTTCTTTCTGACAGGTACAATATTATCAATCCATGTTAGATATTTGACTTCTCGAATGAATCCAACGTCTATCAACTTGTTGACTTCAGCTTCGATCTGCGGGACTAGTTCTAGATAGAATCTTCATTGTGGCTGCTTAATGGGGCGAGCACCATGCTTAAAAACAAGATGATGGACTACAACTTTGGAATCAAGCACTGGAATTTCTTTGCATGACCATGCAAAAACATCTTTATACTCTTATAACAGTTTAAAGTACTCACCTTCATCTTGAAGTTTTAGAAGAGCATTGATGAATAATGTCAAGTAACAACAAATTTCGTGAATAAATTAACACAAAATAAGGTCATGTTACAATAGTCCATTTGATTGACTTTAAGTAAAAGATGTAGTGTTAACTCTCTTTGGCGTGTTTCTCACGTGTACTATCCTTTGATTATCAGTGAATTTGATGAAGATGATGAATTTGGTGAAGATGAGGGTCTGACTGGTGTATTTATCACTCTTCAATTGAAGGTGGCTTTGGTGGATTTGATGAATACAAGAGCTAGATCAATGTATCTCCCGTTCTTCAATTTGATGAAACTTTTGATGAATCTCCTCACCGTTCTTCATTTTGAATGTCTTGAAGATGATTTGGATTTCCTAAAGAAGGACCTTGGCGGTGTGTTCTTCTTCCCAGAGATAAACTTGCAAGGCTTTAGTGAATTTCGAGCAGAGTTTCGCTGATCTTCCTTTCCCCTTGGCTTCTTCTCCTTTTTTCTCCTTTTTTTTTTTCCTTTGGCCCTCCCCTAGACCTCTATTTATAGTGCTAGGAGTAGTTACCCATATAAGAATGATAGTTATCCATATAAGAGTACTTTTACCTAATTACTCTTATATGGGCTCTAGGTAGTGGATTACCCATAAATTTGTGGGCTTTAGTTTATAGAATTTAAGTCCAACCCACTTTACCTTTTAAAAGTTTATTCAATTTGGGCCAATGGAATATAAGTCCATTTTAATTTAATTTAACAAGCCTAATTAATTGCATTTGGGCTTGTATTGTTTAGGCTATGGAATTTAGGTCCAATTTAAATTAATTTAACAAGCCTTGTGAATTAAATTTGGGCTTGTAATATTTAGGTTATGGAATTTAGGTCCAACCCAATTTTATTTATCTAATTGATTTGAGCTCAATTATAAACATTAATTTATTAATTAAAATTTTAATGTCTACAAATGCCCCCTCGAGACTTATGTATATATTTAATATTTTATAAATATATAAATGGGTCTCGATTTGTATTTTAATTTTAAAAGGAATTTGATTTAATTTAATTTATACATATATTTTAATTGGAGTTATAGTCCATGTTGAACCCTAAACAAGATATAGGCTTCATAATTCCATTTTTATTTGAACATAGGAGTCCTAAAATATAGAATTCCAACTTGAGTCATAAATCTCTTTTTTACTAAAACAAATGGACCTAAAATATAGACTTTTAATCCATCTATGATTAGGATAACAAATACTTATTTTAACTTAAATACATAGAACTAGAATGTCTATATATATGAAGCTATGTGTACTCAAAATTTTATGGTCGACAAGATAGTCCACGAGTTTGAACTTTGAATTAAGTTTGTAAGGTATGACTTTTACTTTTTTTTTGGGCATTATTTTAATATATATATATATATATATATATATATAGATATATAAACATATGTTGCTTTTGATTATTCCGACCATTTGGATTTGTTGCATTAGACTTTTAAGTTTGTCTTTAGGTTTGGGTTAAATCACTTTTGGCTTGCACTTGTGCTTTCAATCCTTTTCTTTGTTTTTTTTTTTTGGTAAGTAAGAGGTTTATGTTAGTGGTATTTCGTTACAAGAATTGGATTATGTGATTATTTTTTTTTGTTGGATAAATAAAGTTTTAAATATTATTATACTGTTCAAATAGTACATGATGATGCACAAATTGATCTCGTACAAGATTAACAGTCGAGTGTGTGAAAAGGTGTAATTAATAAACAATAAATAAAGTAATCAATGGCAAAATAGTAAATCTGAAATTAATACAAAGATGTATAGTTGTTCAATTTGGGTGACCTACTCCACTCTCAAAAAACGGCAGTGGTGGCTGGGAGGCTTTATTGATGAAGAAAGTAACCGAAAGAGAGTTCCATGAGAGTATGCTCCAGAAGAGTTACACTTGTTAGGAGAAAGAAGCTATGTGTGTAGGGAGGTGCAGAGAGGCAAAGCTTAATGTGTAGAGATATGTTTCTCCCTGTGGAGAGAGCTTTCAATATATAGGTATGGTGAGGCAGTGAGGTAAGGCGGTGATATGAGTGTGAGGGGCACTACTTCCTTGGGGAGGATAGTTACAATAGGTAAGTAAATTAAGGTAGGATTGATCTTCATGAGTACATATCCCAATAATCTCTATCGTGCTCTTATCTTCTCGAGCTCCATGGATCTTGGACTGGGTCGGATGGATAAAGAGGGCTTGGGCTGCCTTTTGGCTAACTTGGGCTTGTTTGATTTATTGGGCCTGACCCAGTTAGATTTGAGGTCATCATTTGCCCCCCATGCCCCAAGCCTTCGACTATTCGCGAGAAAGAGGGGATGAGGGCATGAGCTTTTTCTTCACTTGGGTGAGCAAAAGTTTTCTTGTTCCCCACGACACCTTTTAATCTTTAAGGACTCTGTTGAATCTACTGACGCTGGATGTTTTTTTTTTTTGCATTTTTCTGCATTCCTTTTGCTGGATCTTGAAGGAATCTTGCCTATATATAGAGGCCTTTAGACTCCCCCACCTCATTTCGCCTTTTATTTTCCTTTGAGGCTTCTCCTAAAAGCCATTCTCTTTTCCTTGGAGGCTTCTCCTAGAGGCCATTCTCTTTCCTCTAAAGGCTTCTCATAAAAGCCATTTTTCCTTAGTCTTCTCTTCTCTAAATCAAAGCAAGATCATGAAGGCTAAGAACTTGAAGGAGATGAGAGTGGGTGGCGCCCAAGGTGGAGAGGGCAAGGCCCATGCCTCATTTGGCGCCATGGGAGGCGGCTACGGTGGAGGGGCCGAGACCTATACCTCATTCGATGCCATAGGAGGCGCCCAAAGTGGAAGAGGCAAGACCCAAGGCTTAGGCAGCACCATGGGAGGCGCTCAAGGTGTAGGGGGCGACACCTAGGGCTTGGTTAGCAACGTTGGAGGTGCCTAAGATAGAGGGGGTGGCGCCCATGCCTTATTCAGCACCATGGGAGGCGCCTAAGGTGGAGAGGGCGAGACCCAAGGCTTATGCGATGCCATGGGAGGCGCCCAAGGTGTAGGCAGTGACGCCTAGGGCACGACTGGCAATGTTGGAGGCACCCAAGGTGGAGGTGGTGACACCCATGCCTTACTCGGCGACAATGGAAGAACCCAAGGTGGAGAGGGTGGCGCCAATAGGATGGAGAGAGGGCGAGAGGGATACCGGTGCATGGGAGGCTCCTTGGGCGAGCTGGGCGGTGCCTGCCACGTGCTGGACTGTGCCAGCGGCATGCTAGTCAACGCCAGCTGTGCTCTAGACGGTGATGGAGCCCGTTTCAATGGCGCTAGTGGCTTATTTAGTGCTTTGGGCGATGGCTCCAATGAATAAAAGGGGGAGTTAGACGGCGCCCAAGGCTTTGAGGTCTTTGCTTCGGGCGGTGCCGGTGGTAGTGGGCTATGTATCTCGGGTGTCGGCGGTGACTTGAATCCACTGGGCAATGCTAGTGGAGGTTCAGGCACATTAGGCAACTCCAAGGAACATGTGGGTAAGTCCAGTGGCACCTTCAGACGTTTGGGTAGCGCGAGGAAACGACTAGGCAATGACTTGAACAAATAGAGCTCTCGGGATATGTTTTCTGATGCTCATATTTACTCCTTTGTTGGCATGGTTATTTTCTTAGGACATTGTAGGTATAGTATCCTCGTATTGCATTCCTCCCATTGTGATGTGTCTTTACGCTAAGGGGACGAGCCAGCATGCTGTGACTCTTCTAGTGAGATAGTCCTTTATGAGGATATCTTGGAGGTGGGCTTAAGGTTCCCGACACATATGCCCATATGTCGGGTTTTGGGGCACCTGTCACTGGCCCCTGGGAGACTGGCTCCCAACGAAAGGAGGGTGATATTGGCATTCTTTTCATTGTAGTGGCTGGTCCATATTGCTGACTGATTAACCCTAATTAAGGCATAATTTAATAGGTAAATTGTGTTAGTTGAATAAAGTTAAACTAGTCAAAATAAATCAAATTAGAATTAGTGTGTGAATAAAGGATAATGCATTAATTATTGTTCTTTTCAGGATTTTGTGCGTCAAAGCTACAAACTATTGGGGAGCCAATTGCATTAAAGCTACAAACTACT